ACCAGTTTGTCATTTACTGCCGCTTGGATTTGGTTCAACCATAGATCGTAACTATCCTAGCTACGATGCCTACTTCTGTGAGATTGACAGCGAAACTACAGGCAACCCGCCAATAAGTCGCCGTGGATGGCCGTAATATAGGCCCACTCAATTGGACCTAACGAGCAACCAGCGCTACAAGTAAACTAAGTAAAACTTTGCTACAAAACAACTAATGGTTGTTACTTTGTGAGATTAAAATTTGTTTTAAATGTCTTTCTAGCATCAACAATTTTGAAGAAAAACATTGAAAGAAAATTGTAGGTATTAATAGTTAAGAAAATGAACAAACATTTTTGATGCAAGGATAAAATCTAGTGTTGAATAAAGATTCATAATTAATCTTTAATAAATCTCATTGTGAATGAAGTTGCTAAATTACAAGGGAAAATTTTCACTTCGTATTACTTTTGTTTTTTTTGTAAAATAAAAATATAACAGATATTTTTAAGAAATGGGAAAGTTAGGGTAGGAAAAGCTTGCACCTCACCTAATTAATGTGAACGAACTGATAAATATTCGGATAATTATTAACGTCAAATTTTTAAAATTGAGAAAAGTAAACCATAAATCACAGAAGGTTCACCGACCGAATCATATTTTAAGAGGTACCTACCTAATTTTGAGGGTGAAATTCAATATTTTAAATGGGCATTGAATACGATTTGACCGAAATTATCTTATTCAATATAATTTCGGTTGCAAAGGGTGGAGGAATGTAATGACCCGGGAAAAATAGACCCGTAATTTAAAACGACTTAAAATACAAAAACAGTAAATTTAAATGTGATCAAATAATGTAAATCAAATCAAATAATCTAATGAGAATTAAATCAGTATCGATAAAATTGAAAAATAATGAAACAAATTGGCATTGACCCAAATTAATTAAAATACGTTCAAATTTTTATAGTTAAAGAAAGAAAGAAAGAATTTGCTTTATTGTCAGAAAATTTTACAATTTTGTGGACAAAGCTGAAAAAATAAAAAACAAAACATACAAATGCAAAAGCACAGACAAAACCAAACACTTGAACAAATAGTTCATGGTCAAAATTTGATTAAAACTAATAAACAAACATCTAGGTCTAAATGCTTATACTGTGCGAGTAAGCATATTATAGGTACTAAAAAAACAAACAAACAATAACTTATAATAACCTATCATGATACAGGAACAAAAACAAAACCTGTGAGTAAGCTGCTCAAAATTTAGAATTAGGAAACCATAAACAACTCGCTTACTGTGTAAAAGGCTCTCCCCAGTAAATACACCTTCAACGCCCTGCGAAATTCGAGAAAAGATGCAATGGACCTGATGTTAGGCGGTAGATGATTATGCATCTTTTTAGCATTATAAAGTATTGAACTTTTAACTAACTCTGAGCGCGGGATTGGCAGATAAAGATCCAACTCTGCGTTCCTCAGTGGATAATTGTGAGATGGCCTCTCTGAGATAGCTGATATTAAGTGCTTACGAATTAAGCAGACGGATTCGAAAATAAATAAAGATGGAAGAGTCAATATACTAGACTTGATAAAAAATTCCCGGCAGTGAGTTCTACTACCAAGTCCCAAAGAATAACGAAGAACTCTCTTCTGCAGTCTAAAAATGCGTTCAAATTGAGACGCACAACACGTGCCCCAGAATGGAAGGGCGTAACGTAAATGCGACTCAAAAAGAGCATAATATACCATCCTGCAAGTTGCCGAGTTAAGCTCCCTGGAAACAGATCTCAGTGCAAAACAGGCCGAACTTAATGTCTTTGCTAAGGCGTCGATATGCAGGTCCCACTTTAGAGATTTATCAACAAGCCCCAGGAATTTCACGGAATCAACGGCCTCCATGGTATTGTTATCCAGTACTACAGATTGGAGCGAAGCTCTGTAAGATAAAACTTTGGTTTTAGAGAGGTTGAGGCACAGGAGATTTGAGTCACACCATGATTTGATGGTGATTAAGTCACTAGATACGGTTCTATGGAGTTCCGTAATATCCGGGTTGCTCCAAGTGAAACTAGTATCGTCTGCGAAGAGACAAACTTTGCCGCTAATATCCAGACTAGCAATGTCGTTAATAAATAGCAGGAACAAAATAGGGCCAAAAACTGAACCCTGAGGCACACCACATTCAATTGGTTTACAAGAGGACATGGTCGAGTCCACCCTCACAAGCTGACCTCTGTTACCAAGATAAGACTTAAACCATTCGAGAGCCATTCCTCTGAAACCGTAGAACTGTAATTTGTTAATTCAGATATTATGATTAACACAGTCGAAAGCTTTGGAGAAATCAAAGAAAATTGAGGCTGTAGAGTGGTGGCAGTTCAGGCTGGAGTATACATTATTGAAAAGGGAAAGCATTGCATCATTAGTATATTTGTTACTTAGGAAACCGAATTGACTGGTAGTTAGAATATTATATTTAGAGAGAAATATAGAAGCCTCTTTTTAACCAATCTTTCTATGATCTTTGATAGCGTAGGAAGGAGTGCAATGGGGCGATAGTTTGAAGGTAGCTCCTTATAACCTCCCTTATGCAGTGGGATAATTATCGCCATCTTAACACAGTTTGGAAAAGCTCCATTTAGAAACGACTTGTTGATCAGAGTAGTAAGATGTTTTAATGTGCAATCAGGAAGATTAGAGAACATTTTGAGGGTGAGTCCATCAGTCCCAGATGAAGATTTGTTTTTAATATCTTTGATTGTACTGCGAAGCTCTGGAACTACTACAGGCGTGAAGAAGAAACTGTGTAAGTTCACCTTAGCATTCGGGAGATATGAAAGTGAGTCCTGGGAAGGAGTTAAGGTATTCACTAAATTCTTAGCCACATCAACAAAGTAATCGTTAAGGATCTCAGGTGAAGTAGGAATTTTGCTAGATGAAGAAGCCTTATTCCTCAAGTCATTGTTAATGACTTAACAATTGACCATGTTTCTTTTGCAACATTTTTGGAGTTTGCCAGCCTCCTATTATAATAAATGTCTTTGGCGGCTTTTATGGTTTTCTGATAGACTTTTCGGTATAATTTTACGTAATCATTGAAGAAGACGCTATCCGAGAATTTTTTTAGATGAGACAATGATCGCATATTTTTTCCAGAAGTACGCAAGCCACTAGTGGACCATGGTTTATGCCGTTTGACTTTGATGGGTCTGAGAGGAAAGGATTTAGTCGCCAGGTCAGATAGGGTATTTATGAATCTAGAGAACTCGGAGTCAACATCATCTGAGTGGACGACCCAGTCAACTGATAAGCAAAGTTGACTGAAATTTAAAAAATTTCCATCCGAAAATATTCTGCCCAATTTGCGGGAAGCACCCTTACGTAAGGAATTCAATGAGAAATTCGTTAATACTGCTTCGTGGTCAGAAAACCCTGCACTAAAACTAGAACAGTTGACCAATTCTGGATCAAAAGATGGAGCGACATAGTCAATGGTAGTAGAACTAGTTTTTGTTATTCTGGTTGGAGAGTTTACATGCATCACAATCCCAAAGGAGTCGAAAATGGACTGGAGAGATTCTTGAGCAGCGCACACACAGGAAAAATTTATATTATAGTCACCACATAAAATTATTTTGCAATTCAAGGGCAAGGAGTCAAGCAAGCTCAGCAAATTCCGACAAAACATGTGCGCGTCTGTGTCCGGTGATCGATATAAACAATATAAAGGTCAAAGCCACTATGATAGACGATGGAAAATTCAAATATTTTTTCCGATAATAAATTATCAAACTTGGTTATTGCCGTAAAGTTATTATTAGTGGACATTATCATAGTGCCTCCGTGAGATAAATTACTTCGATTAAATCTAGCTATTGAGGTGTAATTTTTGACAAACACAGGTTCATCCATATTTAACCAGTGTTCAGTAATGGCGATGATTTCTGGAAAATTAAGCTCTTCTAATAAAAGAAATAATTCATCTGTTTTATGTCTTAAGGACTGAATATTAATAAGAAATACACTAAGCTTGCCATCGTCCAACCTTACAGAGGGTGCTTGATCCTCTGGTCGCGTCACCTTATCTAAAAAAATTTATTATTACGTGGAGAGCCACTAGAGAAATATTTGCTCTGACTTTCCCTAATATTCTGTAACCGGAGAAGTTTCTCGGACGAGAAGTAAGACCTGAAGGCGCAGAGATCAGCGTCAACTTCAGCAGACCAATGCCATACGCGTTGTGGAAACGGAAAGTCACCAAGCGCGTGTCATCACATTGAACTCATAAATCATAACCCGGAAAAGATTAAAATCAAGGCAAAAGTAAAAATCTGTTTTTTTTTTAAAGATAAAAGTCAAACTGACATTATGTTGGCAATACAATGTAAAATTGTCAACGCTTTCAAATATTTTATGTAGATTATACAACTCACTGTACATTATTCCCATATGACACGAGAGGCTTAACAAGTGATAAGCCTTTTGGGATTATCGTGCTTGGTGGCATTTATGGCAAATTTAATTATAGAATTTTTTTTAAATTTTAAAGTATTAAAGTTTAGTTCGTTGTATAACCTTTTGAATCCCACTCGAAGTTTCAGGATTACCTAATACTTTTACCTGACACTCGACGCGTTGCCAGCAACACCACTCCTCCTTCGGAGTCGTGGTGTTGCTGCGTAACGCGTTTCGTGACAGGTAAAAGTATTATCCGGTAATCCTGAAACCTCTTGTGGTATTACATTCGAAAAGGCTTGTGTTGCCAACATAGTTACTAGATTTTTGACTTGGGGAATTATCTTCAAAAAAAAAACGCACTTTAATAAAGTTGGTTCCCAAAGTAACAGTGACATTATTTACGGCCGACACGAGTTCGGCATCATTTGATTTGTTGTTTGTTCAATTTTGAGTAAAAACTTTGTACAAATTTGGCAGTAAGCGAAATCAGGGGTTTTTATACGCTTATAGAATTGGACGTAGTAATAATAGTAATGTTTTGACGTGTAGGAGTTTTAGTTGGAAGTATTGTAACCTAATGGAGTAGTTCTTTATAAAAGAGTTCTTCAAGTGCAAGGCTTTCGATTGTAACATTTTATTTACAAGCTCAGAGATAGGATAGAGGTGCTGAATTAGGGTATAAAAATTGTACCATTGTATTTTGGTAAAGCTCTGTTTATTTTCTCAAATAAAGTATATTTATTAAAAGATAACCGAACTACAGTTGTTTCTCTCACTTGAAAATAGACCCGCCCCCACAATTTTATTTTACAGTAGCAAGGAAATAATTACTATCAAATACGAGTAATACGACCGCTCGCAATTTACCATCTAACCTAAATAATAGAGTACCTACTTAGCTCGGATGCTACAATATTATTCCTATAAAATAAAACACAATCAAGATTATTAAAGACATTTTTATTAATATTAGAAATAACAAAAAAAAAATGTAATCAAAAAAATTAATTTACAACAATAACAATAAACAAACAATAATGCTTATAACATTTTAAATACACAATGTCAACAATTTTTATACATTCAATAATATCTACTTATACAAGTTAATGCAATGACTATACTTAGATAATATCATCGGATAATATTGAGATATTCCTTATTTTTATCAAAATTAGATATATTTTGGTTTCTGAGCGTAGCAAATAAAGGTAAAGTGTCGAGATATTTTCAGAGTATTTTGTAATTTCAGTTATCGCTGTCCTAAAATTCATACTTTTCTATATACTAGGTACGTAAGTATATAGATTTAAAGAATAGTTTTTTAGTTGCTTAGCTCATCATCAAGTATTTAATACTGCATTACTTATATTATAAAATATTCGTTCAAATATAATATTATTTACATTTTAATTATTAGTTGTTTAACTTTCAATTAGCAACAAACGAATTTATTTTCTAAAATACCCTTTGCCAATTCCATTAGTTTTATTTCAGTCAATTTGTTTATTTAGCCACAAAAAAAAATAATTCAACAATCAATTTAAGGCTTTTATATTTAGTTGCAAAAGAGCATACCTATAGTTTTAAATTAAATTTAAATAGTTAAATGGTCCCTGACAGAGAGAAGGATAAAAAAATATTCTTGGGTGATGCATATATTATTATATCGTATTAACAAGCTGCTACTATTTTATTACAAATCGTTTGATTTTCTAACATTCAGTCTTATTTTAAAATATTAAAATAGTACAATAATATTATACATTGTGATATTGAACTGGATAATTCCATTATGAGAAGTCATAAAAGAATAAACGAATATAAGTAGTAGGTACTTAATTGGAATTTTGATTAACTGCTTCTAATTAATTTTCCAAAAAAGAAAAAAAAAATTATATATTTGATAACCTAAGTTTCGATTATCCTGTTCAGTATCATTTTTTAAATTCCCCATTATTCTATAATACTTTTTTAGTTTTAGTATTCGATATTTATTGATTTGTTTTAACTTAATTATGCACGCAACTATCATAGCTTCCGTTATCAGTTCCTATAACTACAAAATCAGGCCTATGATGTATCATCTTCTGTTATTTTAACAGCAACGTGAAGTTATCTGTCACTGTTTATTCTATACGTCAAAACTGAGACACAAATAGATGTTGAGCCTCAACACAGCCGTTAAAATAACAGGACAGGATACATCATAGGCCTGAATATATGTATTTTATTATATTTACAAATTATTTAACAGTAATTTCAGCCAAACAAATTGATTTTATTCAAAGTAGAATTATTAGAAAAGAAAAAAATAAAAAATAAATAAATTAGTTAAACAAACATTATTGTCAATATAATATTATTTTATATTTAGGTGCCAATTCAATTTCAAATTTTAATTTTCTGAATTGTTTTTTTTTTTGTTTGATGCCCTAGAAAGAACCTTCGTTTATTTGATTAATAAGAAATATTATACTATATAAACACTATATAAAACAAAAATTAGTAAAACTTAAAACACATATAAAATTAATACTTAATTAATAATAAAATAATCTTTAAAAAGGGGTTTCCTCAAAAACTATCACAGATTTGTTGACGCGGAGCGTTCAGAATTGTGCCCTTGAGACACATGATGGATGAAGGGAAAAGTGGATTTTTTGGTCACTTTAGGTCACCTCGTAGCGAGTTCATCTTGAATATGGATCTGGAAAACAATAGAGTCAATCAATTGATTTGAAATTTGGCTAAAAAGTAAAAATACAAAATTACCTCGCTGAGAATTGCCCAATTTTCACTGTCGGAGTGCACGTGAAGTCTTAGAGCTTGTATTTTCCCGAAATTATCGTCCACGGTTCCTGTTGCTATTCCAGCGCTATCAAACTTACCTGAAATGTGGAAAAGTAAAGGTGTGTGTACAGGATGTTACAAATTCGTTAGAGAGATTTAAAAAAAATAATTAAATTTTCAATTCAAACAAAGGAGGGTTGAAGCGAGAAATTTTTGATTAATTGAAAATGTTCAACTTTGCGGCTCAATTGCTCAGAAAGTATTTGAGCTATCAAACTCAATTTAGCGCGGATTTATAGAGAATTTAATGCACTTTTTAATGGTGAATAATTTGTTCGAATTTCAATGACTATTTCACTAGAGTGTTTTGTGGTTTTACACTGGCAAAATGTCATAGGAACGGCCGGTTTCCTACTGACAAAACTTCTACCTGTTCCTACCTGGACAAAACCATCATGATGGTTTTTCAGCGACAAAATTTTGTGTGGTTAATGTAAAAAACTATAGGGCAAGTACACGATCTGACAGGTTGACACTATTGACAATCGCCTTGAGGTAAAACAAAGATATAATTTAGTTAGATTTTTTTAAATAAATACCTTTTGTGTGCTCCAGAAGTTTCTCGGACATGCCCAGAGTTTGTTTAGTTGTTAATTGTGGCAGTATAGCGCAAGGGATACAATATCCTTCCATAGGTTTCCATCAATTTTAAATAACAATGGGAGTTTTGATTTGTTAGCTCAAGAGAGAAGAGAAAAATTGATTAATGTTCTTAAAAGAGAAGATCTGACAGCAAAATAGATTGAATATAGAGTAACTAAACTTATATATTTGTTCTTGTGACACTTGGTTTTGATATTTGTTGGAAAAAACCTGAATTTAATCCATTATAGAAAAACCTAGCAAACTTTTAGATGAAAGACCACATAGACTGGAACACAAACACTCCGCTCTAACTTTTTTAAAACAAAATAACACCAAAACTTGTGAAAAAGCTGTGAAAACCGCATAAAACATAACCGGCCTAATCTAAACGAATGTAAATAAATGATTTGTTTTACCTCAGGGCGACTGTCAAACTCATTTGTGACGTCACATGGACATGCCCTATTGAACTATCCAAGATGCTGTCAAACTTGAATTAAAATGGCCGCCAAGAGGCACACAAACCCTTTTTTTATTTGTCATTCAATGTGTCATGAAATTTTTTTCAAAAAAATAGTGCTCATTGTTCATTTGCGTTTTGATACTTGTTCTTTTTACTCGTATTTTTATTAATGTTAGAAATAAAACAGATCCCTAGGGCACTCCTGCAGTGATATCCAACTCCTCTGAAGTACTGAACCCCTAGAAGCAGTAAGTACTTCATGACAGACACAATCGAAAGCTTTTTTCAGGTCACAAAAAACTACCGCGGCCACTTCTTCGTCATTTATCTTCTAATACAGCTCATCCAGGAGATGAAATATGGTATCATCAGTGTTTTTTGACTGCTGAAACAGAGACAGAGAAAGCAATTTATGCCTATCAAGGAAGCTCACCATCCACCTTAATTAGCCACTCTAAAATTTTAGTCAAAGTTGGCAGTAAGGATATTGGCCGGTAATAAGATGGTAAATTCTTATCACCCCCCTATTAAACAAAGGTACTACCCAAGATTGCTTCAAAAATGAGGGAAAACTTCCGGTAAGAAAAGAATTAATAATGGAATCCGCCAACACATCAACAGCCTAACTGAGATATCGTCCCATCCAGAAGATTTTCTATTTTTGATATTCAGTTTCTGAGCAATCGTAGAGTAGTATGAATTAATATTATCTGCTTTCAAATTGGAAGCACATATGTATATTTCTTTTTGTTTTTTTCGCGTAGGTCGTTACTCCTTTTGTTTATTGGATGCGGATGCCCAACCACTCATTGTAATAAATCTTCCTTGCCTGTTTCATCGTCTTTCTGTAGATGCTCCTGTATCCATTATTTGAAGTAGGTAGCACAACACTGGACGGTGGAGTTGCAACAAATAAATATTTTCACATTTTAAGGGTAGGTCCTAGGTGTCCAAGTGAAATGAAGGTAGAGCAATCTTGCCCAAACAATAGGGATTCCGTAATTGGGTAGAAACAGAAACGGCCAAAAATTGAGACGCACACAATAGAAAATGAGTATTTGATTATGATCATTAATGACATAACCTAATGACGTTATGGTTTGTGTTTGTGTCAAATGTTTGTGTGCCTCTGGTTAAGTTTGTTGCTTTATGGTAATTTCGCTCATGAAATTTTTGACAAAACCACTCGCCTGACGGCTCGTGGTTTTGTCAAAAATGTCATTCGCGAAATTGCCAAGCAACAAACTTTCATACCAGTCGAAAATTTTGCCAACAAAATTTTTTCTCTTGTGGATATATGAAAATATTGGCCATTTTTAAAAAACTCAGATTTTCTGTTTGAAATGGTCATCTGAAGATGATGTTAGATTATTTTTTGACGGACTTAGATCTGCTCTATCGATTGGAAAAGTCAAAATTCGAAAAATATAGAGAATTAAAATTTCGAATTTTTAGTAATTAGTAATTACGGAAAGATGATCTTATGGTACATAGTGCCTCTTCTAGGGGGGCACAGGGGAGCTACCTGAAAGACACAAAGCTACGTTAGGGGTCGTCCAGAGGGGTTTTCCTAAAAGGGGTTATTGCGCTGGGTGGAGACTTGAGGCCAGAGGAGCTTTTCCAGAAGAAGTAATTGCGCTGGTTCAAGTCTGCCTATCCGTGTGTTGCTGGCCACTATTTATATTCGTTTATCGCTGACTCGCCAATCAATAAGTCGGTCGATATACAGGGTCATATTTTCCTAGGTACCTTTGCTGGTTGACATATGCCCCCCTCTGAAAAGCATTGGACTCCCCCAATGCTATAGAAGCAGCATGGGTGATATGCTGTCGTAAACTGTCTCCTTACTGCCATTATATTTCCTATTTCCCGCACTAGCTCTGACTGGAAGACTTTTGCTCTATAGGTTTTTTATGTTATATTTAGGTCGATGACGTCATCGAACAAGGACAGGCAATGTTGTCAATGCTTATTTTTTTTCTTATAATTCACCAAAATGTAATGTGTCAATAATTCTGTACGACAGATAAAAATAACGAAATGAAAATGTTTATATAAGTCATGCAATGTCGCGCGCAATTGTCAACCAAAAACTTCTGAAATTACCCTACTTAAAATGCGTTAAAAAGTACTTTTAGTTTTGTTAGGTTGGCAGCGGAATTAGCGGAAATTTAGTAAATGTGACGTCATCCAAATACAGAGTGAGTTTTAAGTATGGAACGTCTCAATTATCTCAAAAACGGCTAGCACGATTTTTATGAATTTTGGTGTGAACGAGTATTACAATATGGTGGATAATATGGTAGTATTTACATGGTTGTCAGATTTTTCGTTTTCCAGAAAATATCTGAAAGTTTGTTTTTTCAAATGGATCATCCTGTATATTATGACATTTCTGGGCAATATCATATACCTATCTTCAACTGTTTTCATCCCCAATAACATATTTAAATTTCATCCAAATATCACGGGTAACCAGTTTCCATTTAAATATTGCGGGTATCCTTTGCAAAAAAGTCAATTTTTAACTGTCAATATTTCCGAAACAGTCGAAGATAGGTATATGACATTGTACATGAAATATGTCTAGAATTTTCCGCAGAACCCAGAAATGTGATAATATAGAGGGTGATCTATTTGAAAAAACAAAGTTCCTGATATTTCTCGAAAAACAACAGATCTGACAACCATGCAAATACTATCATATTATCGGCTATATTGCAATACTCGTTCACACCAAAATTCATAAAAATCGTGCAAGCCGTTTTCGAGAAAATTGAGACGTTCCATACTTAAAACTCACTCTGTATATCGTAAAAATCCATATCACTCAGTACGTGTTGTGGCATCCCGTGTATTAGAAATACTTTTTCTAGTAAAAATTTCGCTACTGGTCCTGCTTTTCCATTTGCCAGTGCTGCTGTGATGACGTATTTTGATGTATAGTCTGTGACTACTACTATCATTGTTTTTTCTTGGTTGCTTCTTCTGAACAGACGTAGTGAATTAATGCCAATTTTGTGAAAAATCGTGCCCACTTGTATTAGTTGTAAGAGGTCCGGGGTCTTTCTGTATGCGGTTGGCCCTTCCTCGCCTGACATTCCTGACAATCTGGACAGCCGTTAACGTATTTTCCGATGTCTTTTAGCATTCCGTCCCAGAAGAACCTGTTCTGTATTTTGTCTGTTGTTTTCCTCAACCCTCAGTGGCCGCATGTCGATGACGCGTGTAGTTCCCACAGAATCTCTTCCCTCATTGATTTTGTTACCACCAGTACCTACCTTGTTGAGGCCTTTTTGTGTTTTGTTTACTTTGTATAGTAGATCATTCTCGATTCTAAAATTTTCCGCTTTTCTCCTAGCTCCGAAGTTAATATCTGAATCGTCCGGGTTCTCTACTGCCGTCGTGAGCTGTTTCAACTCTGGGTCTCTTTCTGCAATGAGCTCATTTCCATTGTTCTTATATAACCGCGTCGTGGCGTGATGTATTTGGTTGGCTTGCTTCCAAGGCGCCGCCGGCGTCGGTTTTTGGGCATCGGGTACGAGACGGCGTTTCCACCAAATGTCACAACTTTATCCTGACGTGACGGGGTAGGTACATAGCCACAGAATATACATATAGGTAGCGTAGGGTCAGGAGAATAGAGATTCGCTTGGTATTTAGTTTAAGATATATTGTAGAGTAAAGGTTATAATAATTAGTAATTACCAAAGGATGGCCCAGGTACGTAGTGCCTCTTCTATGGGGGCACAGGGGAGCTACCTGCGGGCCGATCCTCGAGCCAGGGAGTGGAGCTCCCCGAGAGAACAAAATTTTCGTCCTTATCATTCTCGTTTACTTTTCGATTACGTTGACAAGGACAAAACATTCGTTCTATCGGGGAGCTCTACTCCCTGGCCCGAGGATCGGCCACCTGAAAGACACAAAGCTACGTTAGGAGCGATTCGCTAATGTAAAGGGCCGACCAGAGAGGCTTTTCCAAAAGAGGTAATTGCACGGGACAAGACGAAGAATGAAGACACCCAGAAAAGCTTTCCCAAAAGAAAAGAGGTAATTGCGCTGGGTGGAGACTTGAGGCCAGAGGAGCTTTCCAAAAGAGGTAATTGCGCTGGTTCAAGTCTGCCTATCCGTATGTTGCCGACCACTATTTATATTCGTTTATCTCTGACTCGCCAATCAATAAGTCAATCATATACAGTGTCATATTTTCCTAAGTAGCTTTGCTTGCTGACAATATTGGCAATTTTACTTAACCTTATCAGGATTTTTGAAAAATTGAGATTTTTTTTTTGTTTTTTTTTCTCTGTTTGAAATGGTCATTCAAACATGATGTTATATTGTTTTTTGATTCGAGTTTTAAGGATACGTACCTCCCTTTGGATTTTTATTTCAAAATCTTTATTAAGCCTCAATGTCTCGAAATCTGTGAGAGACATTAAATCAAAATAAATAAAAACGATTTAATTATTAAGTACTTGCCATGAAACAACATATAACAACGTTGCAGAAGTAGATTTTTTTTAAATTAAGACTTAAGAAAATTGCATTGCAATAGCCTTGAAAAAATCCATTAAACGTTGGCAAATTTTAATTACATATATTTGATTCTATTGTCCAAGATCTATTAATTCGGAAATTAAGATCAGATTGGAACCGAAACTTGCCTACTTACGTTAATTTTATTGGATCCGCTGTATTGAGTACATAAAAGATCTCATTAACCGCTTGTATCATGGGTGCCAAATTATAGAAGTTATTTCTAAAAATACTGGCTAATGTCGCCAGGAGCAACACAGTGTCACCAAAATACCTACCGGCTTGAATCTTCAAGAAGCAATCATAGATATATGATCATTTTTTAACTACTCATTGAACCATAAAAATGTAATTGTGTACAGGAATATAATTTTAAAGGTAAATTATTGTTTTCCAATTAATATTAATGAAAAACTGCAATAGTTACAAAATATATAATTTTTAAATATACCAATGTTTTGACTTTTATTGTGATTTTTATTGAGAAAAATGTCAAAACAATAATGCTCTCTTATTATTTTATGGAATCGTAAAACGGTCGTTAAGTGGTTTATTGTATAACATAAAACCTATTTTTAGGAACATTATAATAAGCTTCATTAAATGTTTGCCGATACGCTGGGAAAGTGAGGCTTTGCCAACCAACTGTATCCAGAAACAATAAAAACTATCACAATAATTGCATTTTCATCATTTCTCACGCCCTAATTAATTTATTCTACTTCTACCAGATTTAGGTGGAAAAAAAATCCAGAAAATGAAAGTGGATCCCGAATTGATGTTTGAATGTTTAATTTATTTGAACGCTTTCTACTATCCAGTGTTCGCCTCTCCTGAATTTATCATGGTCATAGCAAAATACCAAAGTATACGAGAAACTCCTAACATTGAACAGGACGGAGCTGTCTGTTTTGCCCGATTAATCGCTGAAATATTAAAGATATTGGTCTTTTATAGGTGGAAAGAGAAAAGACGAAGTAAGTAATTGATTAACTGAAACTAATTATCAAATTATTGAATCGTCAATTTTTTTTTTCTAGAAATTGTTACTACATTCGCTCTGCTAATGACCATGGTGTCCCTTGCAACAGTGATTTACACGTTTGGTTATCAAGATCCGATATTAAAACTGGAAAAAGTCTTATGCTCAATTACCGTTATGCTCACAACCACCGAAATTGTTTTTGGAATATTATTTTTCTTTCCTTGTTTCAAGAAAGTTGATTATTATTAAGAATAAATGAAATTGGATTCAAACCATTAGCTTAGCTACTTACTTTTTAAAGGCCATATAAAGTTACCGAAACAAATTTAAGCAATCGCCAAAGTTGCTAATGATTCTTAAAATTGGAAGCTACGTGACTCACTTACAAATTGCTCGCTTTTTCCAATCTTGTACTTTTATGTAGCAACGATTTTCTTTTTCGGGATTAGTTTAAAAAGAAAGTTACAGGATGCCAAATAAATCACAAAACAGGTGTTTTCTTTCTAGTAGTCCGGGAAATACATTATGGGTTGCAAAATTCATGGTAGTGGTAGTCCTGGATATAGGCTTGTTACATGTTTTCGGGGTCGAATTTAGAACTTCCCACCAAAAATTCCATCCACCAAATTTTGAAAAAAAGAAAAAATTATCGTTTTTTTTTTTGGAAAAAAAAAATCGTTGTTTCGAGAATTTCGAAGAAAACCTATGAGGAAATTGGGAAAGTAGACAAAATTGACGACAAAAAAGATCCTAATACGAAATTTTGACGTAGGGCGCATGGGTAGCACGTCTCAGAACATGTGCCTCGGTGCCGTACGCTCGCCGGCATATCAGATCAGATGCGGTAACTGCGTATGCGTGGTTTTCGCCGCTGTCGCGACTTTAGTTCATCCCTTCCCCTGTCACACCTCTCAGTAATGTCATGTAGTCGAGGACGAGAATTCTGCCCCAGGGTAATGTGAAGTGTCATAATCAGGTCTGTTTCCACAGAAATCACAAACCAGTCAGAGCGAATTGGTTGAAAATGGTCAGAAAACTGGTTGTTGGCGATTTGGACCAATCAAGAACGCTCTGACTGGTTTGTGATTTCTGTGAAAACAGACCTTTTATAGCAAGTTGTAGTGGAGTTCGGTTAATCCTCCTCGAGCGAAAAGATGACAGCCCCATGTGACCAGTTTTGTAACTTCAACTGAAAGATCACGTGAGCTTCTGTCAACAATGTCATTCTTCAGCTCACGGAGGATTAACCGAACTTCACTTGTTCATCCCGCTATTCCCGCTCGCAGTTTTTGACGTGTTTTATAAGATTGGCAGCGTGTTTTTTAATTGAGTCGTTTTAAAAAACGTGTTATATTATTGCATGTGACTGTTTTTGGGAACTTTTATTACTCATAATAATAACCATGAATGAATCTCTAATTATAGCCAAAATTTGGTTCAAATAAAACCTAAAACTGTTCTAAACAAACAAACTTAGTTTAGATGCTTTTATTCGGTTATTTAGTTTATTAGTATGAAAAATTATTTCATTAATAATTTCTTCTGGAAATTAATAGACTCCATATACTTCCTCAGGGCTAGACAGTTTTCAAGTTGCTGTGCACCAGCTTTGAGTCCATCTAAGCAAAATCATCTTCGCATTTATATCTTAGGTAGCTGAAAATTGTACCAGAATATTTCAGGTCTGGCAACCAATGCGCCCCTTCGGGTTCAGATAATATATGGGTAGACGAGTCTAAAAAGCCCGGGATACAAATTTTTCTGGCCCTCGAGCGGCGTTGATGACGTAATCATAATTTCTGGGACATGATTCTACATTTCCCTATATAACTCCAGTTTGTATTTGATATTAACTTATATAATTAGTGAATAATAATCATGAGAAAACGCGCTTTCCAACAGTAAATTGTTGATTTTTCTTTCGATTTTTACGAACAATAATTTTGCTAAATAACTTAGAATCCGTTATATGTAGCTAAAAACTTGTATTCTGTACAGGGTGTGCAAGGTAAGGATGTCTATCATGGGGATATCGTAAACGATGATAGATACGAAAATGCATGCAAGAAATTTTGAAAATTGTGACAACTTCCGAAGATATTCGTGAAAAAACGAAATTTCCCGAATTTCGGAAAATTTCGTTCTTTTTCCGAATATCTCTAGGAATTATCAATTTTTTTAAAAAATTTGTCGGATGCATTTCGTTAGCCATTAAATAGCGCAACTTCTTTCCCATTCAACCATTGTTGTATCTATTACCGTTTACATGGTAGACATTCTTATCTTGGACACCCTGTATATAACTGCTATTTTCTGATCAACAATTGCTGAAAATCTGCCAAAAATGTTTATGTAAATAAATTCTAGCTTTTTCAGGAGGATGAAAATTTCATTTCAATTCCAAAATCAGTGACATGAGCCACGCTTAAGGGATAACTATAATGTACAATATTATTCCAGTTTAATAGCCAATTATAATAACATCATATTCAATGTTATCCAAATAATGTACATATTTAACTCAGTTGTGATCACCAATCGCTCTCGGCGCACTGTCCTTCGTATACACAAAGTTTCGTACAAGATATTCCCATTTAACACCATTTGCAAGATGTGCATCGCCTTCGACAAGCACAGAAGGTAAGTTGTACACAGTGTTTTGACAATTTTGGCATTATTATCCACACAGGTTAGTATGATCCTCCTGAAGTTAGTATCCATCCCCAGTTGGTTGGCGAAGGTATTGTGTATTGTGAATCGAGGTTGTTGTTCCAGATTCTTTCTTGGAGAGCAGCTCGTTTGATGTGTTGTTTTAAAGCATCTGCTATAGGAGGATTAATTTCGATTGCCCGATTCTTTCTTGTAAATAACACTCGTCTGGATTCAATGATGTTCTGAAGATCTGATGCTCGATCATAAAGTAGAATAACAAAACGCTGCAACAGATCACGACATTCATGATCAATATCAGAGGTGCCTATACAGAGCCGCTGCCATACACAATTTCACGGAATAACATCCAGACCTTCCAAGCTGTCTTCTTGCCAATGCCACAAAATATGGAAACTGTGTCGCAACCAGTAACAGAATGAAAAGCCAACAAATTTCTGCAAATTTCCCGTGAGAGTGTGGTACAAATCTTATGAATTGCAATGAATTTTCTGTATTTCCCACAACCATACTCAATCCAGAATTCATCAATATCTTGTATTTGTGGGAACAGTGATATTGAAATTACCACTACATCTGAGTCCACAGTTCGAATTAAGACGCGAGTAGGTCCACATTTCTACTGCATGCTTAACATGGAGAAGTAAACGGCCATCTGCTTCTTCGTGTGAGGCGGGAGAAATGCGTGAAACGTGAAACATCCATAGTTGTTGACGTGAGGACGTGGTCATCATAAGTACAGACAACATGTTTTTTTGGCTGGATACTCATCTCTCACCACTTTCTCAGCGAGCAACTGGAACAATTGTGTCTTATTTCCGCTAACACATAGGAATTACTTATATTTTTTTGAAATTCTAGTTGAGTCTGAGACTTTAATACCACTGTTACTAACATATATCTGTCGAATACAATATCCATTCGTGAACAGTTGATTTGTAAAATATGGTTTGAAAACATGTTCATAGTATTCGAAAAATATGCTAGCATGTGCAAGATTAAGCATATGTATTACAGCTGCTCCATCAAATATTGTAGCTTTTACATTCGGTTGGCTGGGATTAAAGCCAATGTTCCATTTTGTTTGAATGTATTTAATGATATCCGACTTGTTGGTTAGTTTGCAGAGTTTTCTATCATCTGAAATAGATGATGGGTACATTTGGTTTTCATGCGATAAGAGCTCATCAATGTTGCCATTCCGTGCTTCAGATGCGACAATTGCGACATACATACAATCGGCAAAGCAAGTTGGAATCTTTACGCAAGTTAGCAATCTCGGAGATGTGAATATTGGTCCGAGGAATAATTTCATGGATCGAATTTTGAACTTGATCGAGAGTTAACGAGACATATTCATCATACTGTTTCAGTCCTAAAGTAAATGCTTCCGTAACACACTTCACAGCTTCGACACTTTGAATTAGTTTAGAGCTCCCTATTGACACCTTCAAACGCATTTCCTTGTCCGATTAAGACATTAATCATTTTCTTAACATAGGCCAAAAACCTTTTCTCAAATGCATTGTTATCCTCATGATGATGTGCGCCCACGCTTTTGTCATATTTTAAATTTGGTTTCTCCTCAAATTCCTCAATTAAAGAACTGATCCTAGGACCTGATACGATACACTTGAGCAGAACATCTTCACTGTCAAGGATTCCAATAGCGCCACCTTCACTCTTTATAAATTTGTTATTGTGTTCATGAAGCTGATCGTCAGATATTGCAGAAAACGGTCTAGCAGTTTTGCTGCTCGTGAAGTTGCCACGAAGAAATTCAGCATGTAGGTATGTTTAGATGTTTTTCTGGAAGGTCCTGTAGAGTGCGTACGAACACTGGCAACCAACGAGAATAGTGGACTGTGTCAAACGCAAATGTCGACGGAGATAACTGAGCCAAAGTATCGATGTACATGGGAAAGTTAAATGTACACATACTCAATACAAGTTGCACTAGAAGGGACTCCAGTTTGATAACTGTATTCCAATATTGGAACTCAGGATATTCAGATGTTTTCGACAAAATGCACAGTTCACTAATGCTGGAATTTGCTTCGCATGCTTTGTTGAATGCGTTTACCTGTAGACAATGCAAGGCAGCCAAAGTAACTTCGTGTGCATACCGCGCGAGATCTTTTTACGTGCGAGGATGTGAGGCAGGATTCCGCAACACCAGAACTTGCAATATCAGCGGTTGTCACTAATTCAGTCCATCCACTGCCAGTTAACCAGTTGCCAAGTAAGTTAATGACCATCATTTCTGTGTGCAGGCCACTTATCATGAATATGATGCGAACCTCGCCATACTTGTCAGAAAACTTCCATTGCAGTTGCTTCCCAATAGCATATACTGGTTGGTCACATGTAACCACGGGAGCTTGATTTCCATTTAATTTTGCTGTAACCATTATTATGATATCCATCATATGCCGTACCATTGCTAACGTCATAATTTCGTCATTTAACAGTGGAAGCAATGACGAATTACACTTTATATTAATCTAAAACCAGATTCATTTTGTGCATGAAAAGCAGCGAACGATACTCTCTGCATATGCTCTATTCCTTGTATGTCTTCAATATGCAATCTCTCCAGGACAGAGTTAACCCAAGGATTTACAACTTTCCTAGGAGTGAAGGCAGGATCATGGTCAGTGTACTGTGGAATGAAAGTTGGCAAAGGAGGGTCACTTCTTACTTTACCAGTTGCAGGAAGTGTAGTGTAATATTCAGGGAGGCCATTGACAATCTGATTGTTCCACTACTGGATACGAACGCTGTCATCGTCAATCTCCATAACTGCGTCACTGTGAGCATGCTGAACGAAGTAACGGCAGAAGAAGGAGATTGATTGTGGTCATTGTTGTCTATTGCTGATGTTATAAATGAAGTGGGACACAAATTTGGCGGGTGATCACCATCTCCCATATATTGTTTACACAATACATTCGTAACAGTGGCTGATATTTCTTGCACTCGATTATATGGAACACTCAAACCCAGACGACACAGTTTATCTATAATCTTTTTCTTTTTAGTGATAGTGTGAATCATGCGACCTACATATAGTGGGAGTGGTGTTTCTCTCTCCAGAAAGTGGCGTACACTCTGAACATTTTCTTTTCTGGCATGCTTAATGCTGTTATGTCTAATAAGTTGGGCAATTGACAATCCTGCATTATTTGCTGCAGGTATTTCTGGTGCGACACCAGAGTCAATATTGGGACCCTCTAATAATATACATACAAAATGAATAAGAATGACAGGTACAGATGTGGAAGCAGTAAATGCATTGTCAAAGGAGCCTTCAAATTTAAGAAACTCTTGGAAGAGTTGTCTTCGTAATATACCTACTGCCCGTCCCAGACACATACCATTATTGAAGTCATTAGAGGTACCAGGCATCGCGAATGGCATCGCCAACATCCCCTTCGAAACTTAAAATAATTTCACGTCCAGACTTATCTGCTCTCAGACCAGATACAAATACTAATAGTTGTTCCTTGAAACGTGTTTTATTGATATTCTTTTCGTCAGTTTGAATTCCCATGTCAGTCATGCGCTCAGAAACTAATTTTGTAACATAGGAAAGTTTAAACACTGAAGAAGTACTGCTAGATGAGTATAAATCCTGCATGTATTGAACCAATTCCATTATAACTGCACCATAAACAACTTTTTCAAGATTATAGTATTTTTCTCTTTGAGAACGTTCAGCAGCTCGTGAACGTGTTAGAAAGCGAGTATAGCATAGTTTGTGGTATTTGGCTTCTAATGCTACAAAATCTGTGGATGATGACTTCTTCAACACTTTATCATCTTGTAATTGTACAGCATAACTATGAATTTTAGGCCCGATATCCAGCGTGGATGCAGTCAGAAGTTTATCTTTACCTTTTTTTTTTCGTCACAAAACCGACACACGTTTTTCATATCTAAACAGAATAATGATGATTTTGTAAATTTTAGTGCAAATGGAGTTTCGTCTGAGTAAGATGGACGCTTTTTCAGTTCCTTCTCACAAGATAGTTTTTCCGCCTTTTGACTGTCATATTTGTTCTTGCAAGATTTGTGATATTTTACTGCATGGGTTACTAGTGATTCTGAAAGACCACGCCCATCGTTCAACTGGTCCAAATTTCTTATAACATTTGGAAGCTGACCACGTTCAGCAAAAATTGCATGATTCTTTGCCATGGTTAAATAACCTTTATGCTTCGGGGTAATCAAACGCTCTTTAAAATGCTTCTGGCATAACAAACACAGTTCCCATAAAAATGGAACCACCACTAGGTCAATCGTAGCATCAACGAATTTATGTTTCCTCTTTCTTGACATGATTGGGTAATTTCTTTAAAAAGCTGCTCTATTACTTTCCGGAACCCGTACAAATAACATTGTTGCATTGTTGAATTGCTTCATTTGCAAACTTCCGTTATTGGAGCAATTGAAAAGAATTTCATTTACAACAAATAGGTAATTTTCAACTTGCCTGATAATACGTGAGGAAAAGTTGGGGGTTGCGGGTTGGAGGACTTCCATCAGGTGTTGAAAAATAAGAAGGATTAAAGGAGGGAGGAGAAAGGGAAATTTAAACAAAAGATAAAAGAGGTGAAGGGAGAGCCAACCTAAACGGCGTGGGTTGTTAAGCGAAGTGCCTATAAAATATGATATTTTATCTTTTTTTCAAAATTTGGAGGAGCTGCGGAAGGAATTTTTGTTGGGAAGTTGAAAATTTGAATTTAGCGACCCAAAAAACATAAAATAAGCCTATTGCCAGAACCACCATGAATTCTGCAAGCAAAGGTCCTCATACGATTTCTATTGCCTGGATTATAGGTAAAAATTAGTATTTGAAAATAATTACTTACCAACTATCACATATCCATCAGACGTTAGATTTGAAGCTGATGTCAGAGAAAAAAAGCTTGGAGCTTCTACTGGCAACACTTCAACTGTTGTATTGTAAAATTTATCAGATGGATGTTCAGCGTTACCACTTTTAAAATAATATCTGAGGAAAAGAGAAAAAAAATCATTTTTATGTTTGAGTTCCATTTTGCTTATTACCTTTTAACTGGAATAGGCGTTAAAAATTTAAATACCAACTGATCACCAGGCTGTGGAAGTAATCCCCAAAAAAACGTTTCACCCAAATAAGCCCTTTTTAACGTATACTGTTTGTAATGCTTAATTCCGGCGGTAATTTCAGCTTCTGGATTACTGTGCGGAAAAAATAGAGCCACCTTTCCAAATTGTTTATCCTGAAAATAATAAATAGTTAATTTAATTAAGTACTGCAAAATTTATTATCAAATTATATAATGCCATCAAAAATCACATTGGAGTAGTACGCAATTATTGCAAAATTTACCCAACCGAATTTAGTAATTATTGAAAGTAATATAATTTATCCGAATGCTATAGGGCTTATTAATAGTTTTAATTACCCAGCTACAGAAACTTTTGATATTTAAAATCTTAATTTTGTGGATACCCAAGCCCTAAAGCTAACTTTAAGGATAAATCAAAAAACTATTAGAATTCCAAAAAAAACCTGGTCCAAAAACTTTAATGAAACTTTATTAAATTGCCTCGTTTATCATTCAGCTGAGTGGCAGAGATCTTTTCCGTCTCAGGACCATTGAAAAACTAATAAAAAAGTCATATTTCAAATTTGGCCCCGAAACAAAGGAAAATGGTTATCCCTTTTTTTCTATCGGAGAGTTAATATAGAATCAATATATTTAGAAAACATAGACTAGATAAAAATGTGAATCGGAATATGTCATAAAAACTGCTATCTATAGTTTTGCTATTTTGTACTCGGAAATCGGAAGTCAAGTTTGTTTATCAGAAAAGCTTTATCCAAATTAGAAAATATATCTAGAATTTGCATCTGCATCGGAGTTAAATACCTATATACTTTAAGCTCTGTTCCAACCGACATGAGAACTGTTCTAGAACGGTAATTTCATTTATCAATTAGGATAAACGTTTAACTTATTGAAAAATAGGTGGGCAACTGGAAAGGGTTCTCATGTCGGTTGGAACAAAGCTATAGTTCTATTCATTTAGACAAGAATGATAAAAAAAAGGTTGAAAAATAAACCTCCAACTTACTATCAATTCTTACCTTTAATTTTTGTACTTTCCCTTTCAGTGACGAATGCGTTCCAATATGTTGAAATAACGATGGCTTGTAATGGATCCACATTTTGGCCTTTTCGCGTTTACAGATATCCTTAAAATTCATGTTTATTAACAACAAAAAAAACAACTGTTATATCGTTTTCCTTACGTTATTTTTTTCATAGTTGCAAACTTTTGTGTACAAAAGATGATCTAGTAGCCAGTCAACAGGTTTATCGTTGTAAAACATTTGGAAGAACGTTATCAGCCAAGGCAATTCTGCACTTTTGAACATTTTTCCTAAAATACGAAACAAACCTATATTGTTAATTATCTCTAGTGCAACAAATATGTGAATAGTTAAGTCCAAGTCTCACTTATTTTCTATTCAAGTTTACAATCTGGACAAGAAAAAAAAACAAGGAGCAGTCGCTAGGGTCAGCCTGGGAAAGTGCTCTCCAGTTGTAAATAAAATATTCAAGGCATAAAAATTTCCTGTCTCAAGTCGTAAATTCTTCCTGTAAACAGAAAATTGCCTAGAGGACTATGGACGCTTTTGCAGCCACAAATTATTTAAGAGTGCCTTTTCGTAGATATTGCTGTTTAAATTTTTAGAGGCCTCTGCTCCGACTTCGGACGTTATACGCTCATTAAAATAGATGAACTTTATATTTTCTTGGGAGAGCTTATGACCTAACATCAAATTCGTAATTGTATTTTTAGTTATTTAATAGAAAATATCATGTTTCTCTATTTCTTTTTGCTGTTTTCCAGATATCTTTATGATACAATTTTCTTGGAAAACGGCATATATATATTTTTATTATAAAGTTGTAAAGTTTTACGCCTCTGTGTATTGTAGAATCTGGTCCTTTCTTGGAACTAGTATGTTTATTTTTCCTTAGTGACTCCTTATTTTAAAGTTAAGATTTGCTTCTACAAATTCAAGTCTTTTGGTTTTAGGAATGAATACCTATTATTCATAAAATTTTCAGTTCAGCGTTTCATTTTATAGTATTTTATTTCACAGAAAAGGAAAAAGCGTTTCACAAGTGAGGTAGAGAATATTCAGTAATTCGTTTCCAATGTCTAGATTACATTAAAATCTAATTTGCAATTTGCGACTTTGGATTTTTAAGATTTATTCTCAAGTTTTGAATAAATATAGCTGTTAATCTATGTCGAAGATAAGAGATTTTTGACTTTAAAGTTTGGTGGCCTTATTAAGAGCCAAATAGGGCTAATGATAAGCGTCTTTGTTTTACGCAAAAACCACCACTTACATAAAAAAAAAATTGATGGTAATATTCAAGTAATAGGAGCGAAACACTTTACATATAAGCGCGTGATTTTTGTTGGCTTTGGTGGAAGGAAAAAAATAAAACTTCTTAACGTGGCCTTATTTGGGACAGGTACCTTATACCTAATACCAAAGTCTTTGGAAGGAAAGCTGCTGGAAAAAACTTCAAGCAATCAGAGGGACTTCAAATTTTCAGGATTCATTGAGCAGAGTCTTTTTATTAAACAAAACAAATCGCAAATGGATCCCAAGCTCAGAAATGGAATTATAATTTTTTTCCCATTCAGATGCAAAAAAAATCATGTAAAATTTCCATTAAATCACCTTTTCAAGCTTTAGTGATGCCGCGAGACTCGAGACTGGTCTCGTCTCGTCTCGACTTTTCGAGACGAGACTAGCTTTTGGTCTCGTCTCGTGAAGTCTCGACGAGACGAGACCAGACTTGGCGAGAGTCTCGTGTAGTCTCGAGATTACACTTAAAATTTTTCTCTCATAGCTTTATTATTGGACTATTCTGGGCTATTTGAATATGAAATCAGTAAATTAAATGTCACGGTTACTCTTTACTGTGATTTTTCACTAATTGCTTTTTCACGGTGGCAGTTTGGATTTCCGTTATAATATAAAAATAAAAACCCTAAATACAGGGTGTCCGAAAAATAGCGTAAAAGCTCTCCACGTAGTAGGGGACCCTTTGAGAAACCCTAGAAAAATAATTGAATTAAAAAAATCCTTCTCTAGCATTATTCTTGGTAATATGAAGAGGTAGATGTGAAAATTCACCTTCGAATTCTTCAGGTAATTACCTGGGTATTTAATTTAATTCTCTGACATATTGTCAACGGGATATTTTCAGTGTTGCCAATTTTAATAAATATTAAAATGCAAATAACTTTCTTAAGAATGCCACTAGATTTTTTAAACTATTTTTCTGGGGTTTCTTGTAGGCTCCTCCACCTCGTAGAGAAGAGTTTTTACGCTATTTTTTGGACACCCTGTTGTATAACTCGAGACCAAACGAGACCACTCGAGACGAGACGAGACTTTGGTACTCGAGACCGAGACTAAGTCACGGTCTCGTCTCGAGGTGTCGAGACGAGACGAGACCAACCCTAAGTCTCGTCTAGTCTCGTCTCGCGGCACCACTATCAAGCTTCTAAAAATTAGGTACCTCAAGCAATCAGAGGTACTTCAAACGTTCAGGGTTAATTGAGTAGGGTCGGGTCTTTTTATCAAACAAAACAAACCGCGAATAGATATCAGGCTCAGAAATGGAATTATAATTTTTTCTGACATACTTAAATGCAATAAAATCATGTAAAATTTTTATTAAGTCACCTTTGGAAGCGTCTGAAAAATACTTGAAGCAGTCAGAGGGACTTCAAACTTTTAGGATTTATTGAGTAGGGTCTTTTTAGTCACCTTTGGAAGATTCTGAAAAATACTTCAAGCTATCAGAGGAACTTTAAACTTTCAGGATTTTTTGAGCATGGTCTTTTTATCGAACAAAATTAATTGCTAGCGGATCTCGGGCTCAGAAATGGAATTATGATTTTTTTCTCACTTAGATGTAAATAAATAGTAAAATTTCCAGATAATCCAATTATTCTTGCGATAAAGACGTGTATTTGTGTGCGTGTATCTGATTGCGCTTTTTCTTGTGTCTGAAATTCTAGTCAATTTTCGTGTTTAGTGTCGTTGTATTGATAAAAAAAGCGACTGTTCAGTGATGTGAAATTTGCATCGCTTTCCGTTTCCGTATTTCTGGAAAGCGCGAAAAACTTGATTTTATTTCATATTATTTATATTTTTGAAACTTGAATGGCATTGGATGCAATCGGTTTGGTGCCATTTTTCTTGAAGGTTTTCGCGCAAGCTGGGGAATTTTCAGCAATTATGATGCCCAAAGTGGCTGCTATTGTTTTCTTCTTTTTATATCGACTTATAATCACTTTTTTCATTTTTGGAAAATGCAAACATCAACCACACAAAATTAAAAGCAAAAAATTGCATTCAAGTTTTCTTGCTGTAAAACGGCCTTAAGCACTGCAAAGACTTGTACGCAAGACCAAGGCTAAGCATTGCAAGACTTATACACAAGACCAAGACTAAGCATTGCAAGACTTATACGCAAGACCAAGACCGAGCATGCAAGAGTCTTGCGGTCTTGCATTTTTGTTCCATTTTTTTCCGCTGAGTTCTAAAATTTAGTACGTATTTGATTTAGTTGTTTGTAGTTGAATATATTATATCTAAATATTATCATAGCCTATGTTACTGGTATTGGGGCTCCCCTATCCTATAACTTTGGAGAATATAAAGAATTCCCACAAACACAATTATCAAACATATCTAAATTTCCAATGTGAATCGAATTGTTGTTTAAAAGTAAAAGATTTTCTGTCCATTAAAAAAAAAACTACTATGTATCTTTTTGCATTAATTTTGCTTTTTGAATGTATAAAGTACTACTTCACTACCGCAAGCGAATGTGTGATGGAAAGTTCAGTTACCGCACGGCACGCGACTCGGCACGCGAGTGAGTAAAATTGTTAACAAATTTTTCATTTGCTGGGAAATCCATAAAACTAATGTGCACTTCTTCATTCTAATCCCTGCTAAGATAACGGACCCCCAGTGACTAAGATATAAATTTATGAAATTGGTTATAGTGAAATATTTCTAAAAAAATGTCACTATTCAAGGAATAACTGCATTAGATTATCAAGAAAATTGATAGATATTTCAACTCAACTATAGATAGGCATAAAATAAATCATGAAATTCACGTTTAAACAAAATACATAGTACTTGTGCTAGCGCCGCTCGCAATTAATTGTAAATACCAGTGGCCCACCCAAGGGAGGGGCATCGGGCCGCCTCCCTCCCCAGGCCGCTATCCAAAATTGAATTTTTATGTATAAAAAAATGTGCAAAATCAGGGCGTGGCACCCTGACACCTCAATTTTCTGTTTAGATTTTTAGACACAATCCACAACCTATATGTAGGGCCCCCCACATTATCTCTGGGTGCGCCACTGGTAAATACAAATAAGGATGTTTCATTACTACAGGGACAAACTTAAACAAGTGATCCCTTAACTACCAGTGTTTTTTTGAGCATTTTTTACTTGAAAAAATTGCCTGATTCAAGTACTCGTTAAAATTTGCTGCTGTGGTAGAGGTATTCAATATTGAAAAAGCAAATTTTTGATACTGGCATATACTCTCCCTTTTTTCAAACATTTACTTACTTCAAGTGGCATGAGAAACAATTTTTTTTAAAATTTTCTTTGTAAAAATTCTCTCCAGTAAAAATCTACGAAAAGACTGAACCCTACAAGACCAAGACCAGTAATTCGTGCGATGCCTGCCAACTGTTCTTTTGTAGGGACTGTACTGGTCTGCCACGAAAGTGGATGCTGTAACTCTGCAGAATAGGTCACTATTTTTTCTCTGCGACAGCTGTAGGTCTATCCAGAGAGAGATTTGTTTCAGCTTCACAAAAAATATAATCAGCTTCAGGGTGAACTTACAAAAAAAGACATTTATGTACGACCTACATTGTAAGAGCTTATTACGTAACTCATTTTAGCCTGTTTGAGTTACGTAATAAGTTGCATTATCGTGCTTAGTGATGTAATGAGCTCATTACCAGTGGCGTATCTACCGGTGTGCCATGTGTGCGAAGCACACAGGCCCGGCTCCGAAAGGGGCCCGTGAACTCCATATGGAAACCGCAAAAAAATATTGCAAAAGATAAAAGACCTGAAATTATTAATTGTCTTTTTAGTTTTTTGCTTGTATAATAATGATTAATGTATGGGTATAGTATATAGTCCCCAGTACATCGACCTTAAAATTTTGTAACTCATGTACACGCCAAACTTCCTGAGCGGCTTCATAACATCAAGTCGGACAATATTTTTCATATCTCCACCCTGGGCGATGGGACATTGCCGCGCTAGCTCTTCGTGAAGTTGTCGTTCTGACGTCCCTA